ATGACCTTTAAAATTATTTGTATCAATGCCAACTATGCTTAATATTTCAACCAACCATCTGCTAATAGTTTGCGATACCATATGCGATACCATATGTTTTGGACGTCTATGTAAACTTTGTAATTATAACAATTTGGTTGATATTAAAGTATTAAAGTAGAGTAAAGTTGTTGAATGAATGCAACAAAACTGCACTCACGTGTGGACTGGCATAGCCAGTCCTTCCTTTCCCAAAGGAAATGCCAATAATTGTTTTACATCTATCGATTACAAAAACCTTAACATATCTAGCTATATATGTATATCTCGACCAAATAATAGGGAGGTTGAGCAAGAGGCAAATTTTGTGATTGTGACTGTAATTTTCATTGTAGGGATAGGAAGTGCTGTACTTCTACAATCAAATTTACAGTGGAATCACAATATTTGACGCTTGCTCAACCTCCCTAATATATATATGCTGCAGTGTAGACAAAAAGTTCAATTCAATTCGTCCTTTACTTCTGTGTTAATAGAAATCAGTTTACAGTATGGTTTGGATTCACAATCAAACTGGGATCACTGGATAAGGGTGATGGTGTTTACACCAGAACCCTTTCTGAAACCTACGAACTATTACTGGATCAGTCGTTCCCGAGGGACCCTCAACGGGTTCCATGGGAACCTGACCATAGTAAAGTAGATGATGAATCCATAAATCTGATGGTTACATCTTCAAAAATCAGCAACATTATTAACTCGTTTGGCCCACTAAAAGCGGCTGGAAAGGATGGTATTTTTTCAGCCCTTTTACAGCATGGGCTAGCCGAGTTAATTCCGTATCTGGTTCCTCTAATGAGGGGGTGCCTGACCTTCGGTTACACACCTCTGAAGTGGAGAGAGTCCAGAGTGGTATTCTTACCAAAGCCAGGAAAGGAGAGTTACGAAAGGGCGTCCGCTTGGAGGCCCATCTGCTTAACATCCTTCCTGCTAAAAACACTTGAGAAACTGGTAGATGGCTGGGTCCGCACGCCTGATCTTGTTGATAGGCTGCAGAGACACAGTCAGTACGCCTATATGAAGGGTGTCTCCACGGAAGCTGCCCTTCATCAGATCGTTAGCCTTGTTGAGGCTGACGATTGACTCTGGCGAGTACTGCGCTGCAGTGATGCTGGACGTCAAGGGCGCTTTTAATGAGGTTAGATCTGATTCCATTATCCGTAGCCTTAGGAGGTTTGGCGTCAACGAAGTATGTGTTAGATGTATTGAGCATATGCTTCGGACACGAACCACTTGGGTAACAGACTCTACTCACGAGATTGGGAGGGTGCCCTCAGGGGGGTGTCCTCTCACCGCTTCTCTGGGATCTGGTCGTAAGTGAAATTCTGGAAAAACTGCATCATCAGTTCCCTCAACTGTACTCACATTGCTTTGCCGACGATCTCACAACAGTGGGACGGGGTATTGACCTGGGTATAGTGGGGAGTCATGTGCAGAGTGCAGTAAATCTCGTTAGTAATTGGTGCAAAGAGGTGAGCTTGTCAGTCAATGATAAGCTTGCCCTGGTACTATTTACTAAGAAATACAAAACGGCTACCCTGGAGATGAGAGTATTTGAACACATCATCTCTTCACCCCAATAGAATGTGTAGGAGTAAGATGAATAACTTAGGTTTACATTACCCTCCAGAGAAACCCGAAATATTATGTGTTTGTGTGATTGGTTCCAAAAATCATTTAGTTTATATTACGTACATAATTTCACATCTGACAAGGGTAAGAATTACTTACAAAATTTTACATTAAACAGAATGCCATAATATACAATACATAAAAGCAACTTACCACTCCAGATGGTGTATGGTCACTTTACATAAAATCTTTTGCATAAGTACTACTTTACATAACTACTATTTTACATAATTGTCAATTATGGGAAACTCAATTTTGCATAATTACACATTGCATAATAGTAGCTCAACCTCAATACCTACTATTCATCCTCAAACCAGTCACCATTTACACTTAGCTTAAAAATCTTCACAATGTGAACAGGCATTCAAAACTAATGAAGGTCTGGTCATTTGGTAAAAATATTAAAATTAGATTAGAAATCGCGTGGAATCTATCAAGTGCATAATTTAGGTTGTACATCAAACATTCCGAATAAATTTCTCTGTTTTAGGCTATTTCTTATAAGAAATCAGATGCTTAATTTTAAAATATTCTAAAATTATCCAGCGCTTGAGGTACATCAAAAGCTTTAACCGACACTCCACGACAAAGTAAATGGTTGCTAAGGTAATGGAACATCCGCACAATATGAAGGCTGTTAAAAGCGATCCGGCCATTGAAACTGGCATTGCACCATGTTGATAATTATTTCTCTTCACAATTGCCTTCCTGCCTACATATTCATTATTCAATTGTTCCATTTCCAACCTGTGATATATGCCAGATTCCAGCATAAACTTGAAATATGTTGGAACTTTTGAAATTCCTTCGTTAGTAAAAAGTAATGCAAATGGTGACGCGAATATGGGTTCCCCTTTGTAGAAATTTGTCCAAGGATAGTTCTTCTGCAGAAACACTAACTCTGAATGTACCGATTCTGACGTTCCCGCAAACACAGCCTTGCCACACGACGTAATTTCATTCTCCACCAATTTTCGCACGCTTTGTACCGTGTATGTTGAATAGTTTACTGAAGCTGGAATATGGGTATGCATTGGATTAAGCAAATTAAACATCAAAGTAAAAACTGGACTAATGAAGTGCTCCGATAACGTTTTCCTAACACCTCGATAATCTGGATCTAGCAGAGAGGCATGAATATCGTAAAGCAAGTCTAGAAATTGAGGAATTTGTCGTTGATCAAGGGAAACATTGACTACCTTTGACAGTAATTTAAAACAATCAAAAGATTTTAATGGATCGAACATGGAGATATTGGATGGCCGGTTCCACAAAAGCTGGCGGATCTGACTGTGGTATTCTGCATGAATGGATGTATTAAGGACAGATATATTTCCTCCAATACTTAAGACGTAGTCAAGATTTTGGTTCGAACGTTTTATTTTTGAGCACACCAAATCATGAAACGTTATGGGATGTCTACCCTGCAATGGGGCATTAAGTTCTGAGGTCATTATTCCATTGTAGCAATTCGTTAAGATAACTGACATTAGACACCACGTCCCCAAAATCATGCGACAGAATGCGTTTTTTTCAACACTGGGTGGAACGGGAAACCCCTCCTCGAACATAGTTGCCAGTAATAATAGCCACACCGGAAATCTGTATAACTTTGCAAAATACAAATAAATGGAAAGGATTATACAAAGAAGAACTATCCCAATTCCAACAGCCCACCATAATTCAGGCTGAAATGGTGTAATATAAAATTGAAATGTTATAAATTTTTCTGTGTAACAAGATAGAAACTCTATGGCACTGTACTTAGTGACAACTAAAGTTTCAGAGTAGCCATCAGACCCAAAACGCATTGGTACTTCGTGATATATATAAGCGGTCCGTTTCATATCTATATGTTTGACGTGCTCCTTATCGGCTGGAATTTTTGTGCCATTAATACGTTCGAATACAGCAGAATACAGGTATGTGATGTATGAATAGTTTGCGGTTGGTATGAATGGATTCCTTGGAACATTCGGTAGGTATACCACTCGATAGACTGAATTAAAAACAAGCCAAAATTTTGGCGGGGATGCAATAGAAATAAGTTTTTCGACATTGGATGCTGTCTTCATACAAATTGTTTCTTCTGGACTGTGTTGATGCTCAAACCCAAGCCCAAACGGATAAATACATAATTGAATTAAATTTCTGATTGCGAAATGAGCAATCCCAATGTAATCTAAACTACCAAACCTTAATTGTACAGAAAAATAATGCAACACAACAACCTCGGGTGAATATGACCCAATGGTTTGTACAGCTCCGTTGGCAATGAATAATAGGAATAATTTCTTCAGCCGCGTCCACTTTGTATTGCCTGACGCTAAAAAATATTCTGATAACCATTCAGATTTAGCTGCAATGCCCTGGAACTTAGTATAAACAATTTGCAGGTGAATCAAAAACATCAAGACGAGTTTGCATTTAGCAATGCGCCCGTTGTGAATATTTAGACCTGGAAAGTTTGACGGGGCTCTGTAATTTGTAATTATTGTGGTAGGAAGCAGTAGATCTTTTTCTTTGTGACAATGGTATAAATTAATTTCAAACTTATTGCCATCGTCAACAAATTGCAAATCGCAATTTGAATTAATATCGACCAAGTTTTCTATCAGACACCCGTCATTTCCTTTGACCACGTTTGCCGCTGTAAAAATAGTGTATGAAATGAATAATGTTTGATATTTTTCTTTCTTCATTTTGAACTAAGGTTTTGGAATTTCCGGACAAACTACGATCCTTGTGTCACTTCGTTTAGAGTCGCTCTTCTAAAATGTACCTACAGGCACTAAAAATTTCATTTATATAAAATGTTTGTTTAGCGTGTTTGAACGTAGCCTCGTGGTGATATCGGCTAAAAGATTTTAGCGGACAAAGAAATGGCGGATTTAGGCCTGGTAGCGGGAATGTGTTAATAATTGATGCAGCAATGTGATACTATAACTGATTGATGTTAATGTTAACACGCCATTGTTATGAAGCTACTGCAAGGACATTTTGCAAAATTATGCAATGTATATATACATATCTCTAATATTTAAAAACCAGTATATTATGGACGCATATCACTCCGTTGGTGGGAAGTTATAACACCTTGTAAATTTTGTATTACATAGAATAACTATAGTGCATAAGGTGCGCAATTTAAAACCTGAGATGCGCAAAATATTTTTGTCTACGCGTCAATTCCTATTTTGTTGGAATGTTTACTCCTACCCAGACGAGTCATGGTCTCGCTGAATAGAAAGCAATGCACACGCAAAGAATCCTTAATTAGAATGAAGTTTTCGTAAAGCGTCAAACAACTCTAAGCTTCGTGTCTGTTGAGGCAAGAAGTATTGCTGGTGATTAAATTCATCCTTTTGCTAGTGCAGTACAATGAATATCTAGCTAATTAAATATTTATTTGTTGATATGAAAAACTTCCTCGTTTAATATTCAAGTCAGCAGTTTTATAACCAAATCACACAATGTTATTAAAACTTAATTGTGATGTCAGAGCGTTGCTAAATTCAGACCTTCATCCATATTTTTGGTGTGCAAGTGAACCTTATATTTGGTATCCATGATTGTGTACAAAATTCAATAAGTGAACATGTGGCTGGTGCTAACTCATTCTCTGGATGGTAAATTTACGGCATTGCATTGTGGATTGTGTTTTGGAATTTTTATTTATTGTATTGTATTTGTAACATTAGGTATTGTAGCATTTTCATTGTGGCTGTCTCACAGATTCTCAGAAGCTCGAGATAACTTGTGTTAGAATTGTACCTAGTCCTGTCATAAGTTCTGTCCAATGCATAAATGAATGTGGAACAAATAGGTTATTGAATTTTGAAAAATGAACAATTGTATTCGAAAGCCCATAAAATTCTCTACTAAATAGATTAACTAGCTTTCAAAATGTAAACCATTTGCTGCGACACAAGCCCGAAGTTTTGGCATCCAGCTCTCGATCGCAGTACGCACACGCTCCAAGGGGTAGTCATCCCATTTCTTGACGATGGATTTTTTTAGGGATTTCAAACTTGTATGGGGTTTAGAACATACATCCAGCTCCAATTTGGATCATATCTCATAGTCCAGCGGATTCAGGTCCGGTGATGATGCAGGCCATTCTTGATCAGAAATGAAGTCAGGAATTTTGGACTTCAGCCACCTCTGTACGATTTTAGTCTTATGAGCTGGAGCTGTATCCTGCTGGGACGTCCAGTCCTTATTTTTGAATAGGGTGTGGTTCAGTGGTTCCACAATTGGTTTGAGAACATCCCTCAAATAATTTTGGGCACGAACCTTCACCCCCTGAGGGACAAAATTCACTTTTGTCGTCACATCCCAACTTGCACCCAACCAAACCATAACAGAAGCAGGATGGTGTGACCGATTGACTTTTTTCAAATTTTTGGGAATAGCCTGGACTGATTGGGCGTAGACCCGGTCATTTTGTTTATTGTATTTGGCCTCGACCGTGAAAATCTTCTCATCCGTGAAAAGAATCCGTTTCCATTTTTCACCCGCGTACCGCTTGATCAGCGCCCGGCTCCTGGCCAATCTATTTTTAACTTACCGTGCAGTGAGCATGTGTTGCTTTCCACGTTTTAAAGCCTTAAGTCCAAGGTCCACTTTAAGGGCCCTGGATATAGGTTTACTTGACACGTTCATGTGTATGGCCATTTTCCTTTGCGTCCGGCGAGGATTCCGACGAATTCGGTTCTTCAGTGCCTTGAGGAATTTTGGTGACCGTTGTGACCTTGTCCTCCCACTTCTGGGTCGGTCCTCAACACTGCCAGTGTCAATGTAACGTTTTACGGTTTGTTCGACCAATTTGCAATCAATACCAGTTTGTTTGACTGAACGGAAAATCTCGGAATTTTTTTTTCCACTCAGATGTTGGTGAAGAATTGCAGCACGCTTTGTTTGAAGATCAATCATTCTGATACACTAATTTTTAAAAAAATATTGAAACGTGTTATCTTATACAAAATTGCATGGAGAATCAGAAAAAAAATATATTAACTTACCACAACAATTGCCAATATGTTTTTTTTTTTGAGCGGACAGTAGTGGACACAACTTATGACGGGACCAGGTACGATATGCATATCGTACATTTTGTCTATGAGTTTCTATGAGTCTTTGAGTATGAAATACGCGTATTTCATACTCCAATGATAAATTTGCAGAATGGGAATTGTAATGGACTGGAATTCACGTAACTAATACTAAACCTCACTTTTTCTGGTTCAACTGGGTATGTATGCAACTTGCGAGCAGTGATGTTTCTCCTCCGTTTCCATGGCAATATTACTTGCGCCATTTCTGCGATACTTTTTGTAATACTTTTTTTTGCATAATTCCTCAATTCTTACTGAATACTCTGCGAACACAACTTACTCTATGATCAATAAAAACATTTAAATTAAGTCTTGCGTCACAATCTATATTGTACGACTCCTGCGTAGTCAGTTTTTTCTGCGATACTTTTTGTAATACTTTTTTTTGCATAATTCCTCAATTCTTGCGTCACAAACATGTGATGTGCTACCTACAGTAAGCAAAAAATTAAATCATACCTTTTGCTATGTCGACATGCATCTGTGATTTTCTGCTTTCTGGAAATGAGACTGCGCTATGCAATATGCCTATTTTTTAGCAAATTTAATTTAGATTTCATAAATAATACCCAATTTTTATTTACCATTACCAATTTTGAAATATTCAGTAAAAAGTGGAGGGAAGTTGAAATTCATCGCAAAAAATTAAATCATACCCTTATCGTTTTTAAGAATATGAATCTGAACATCATTTTTTGGACAGATTCAAAAATAATAATTCTCTTCTAAGTATCAGCCTACGTAAAATTATTACAAAGTTTTCATTTTTTTGGCTTTGCTTACTTCTAATAGTCGTGTAAATTGGGTGCAAAGCGATTGTGCATTGAGCAACGAGACAACGCCATAAGTCTCCATAATAAAGGACTGGGATACCACAAAATTGTTTCCAGAACAAAGTTTGCAACACCCACCATCCAATATGTTCCTCAAAAATGGAAGAAAACACAAATTGGGATGTTCTCGTGGTCACTGTGCGGCGATAACGTGAAAAATGGTAACTTTTTACAAGTTCAATTAAGCCGCTTCCGAGAATTTCGATAAAATGGTCTTATTTCACGAGTTAATTTATTAATTTGTTACACATTTTAACGTTTTGAAGTGACTACACCCATAGTGAAATTTCAACCTGAAAATTTACACATGTAGTAACTCCTCTGGTGTGTATCTAGTGTGATACTATAACTGATTAATGTAAATGTTAACACGCCATTGTTATGGATATATGTACTACAAGGCCCTTTTACAAAGGGGCGCATGTATATCTACAAGGTTCTTAGAAAAACACTAGTACATATATTAAGGACGCATACCACTCCGTTGGTGACAAGTTATAACACTTTGGTACCTACAGACTTATTACGTATTAAATTACGTATTAAATTATTACGTATTACATACTTAGAATAAAGCTATGCTGTATTCGCTGATGCGTAAAATATGTCCACGCGTCAGTTTATATTTTATTCGGTGGTTTACTCCTATCTTGACGAGTTATGGTCTCGCCGAATTGAAAGTAATGCACACATAAACAAACCTTAATTAGAATGAGAGGTTGTCGTAAAGCGCCACAGAACTGTAACCTGGCGTGCAAGAAGCATTAGTAGTGTTTAAATTAATCCTCTTATGAGTACAGTACAATGAATATCTAACTGGTTAAAACTTTATTTGTTGATATGACAAACTTCCCAGTCCAATATACAGCGCAGAAGTTTGATAATCAAAATCTTCACTTTCATACATACGTAGATAAACTTTTGTCGTTTTTTGTAACATGCGCCGATTTTGGGGACATTGAAAAGTCCCCACATTGTCCCCACGCTTCCGTGGGTACTGCATCCATTCATCCCATGTATTTTCCCTATGTTTTTAGCATTCAATTTCTCTTATATTATTCTTCATATACATTTTCCCTACAAGATGCCAAAAATCACTTTATCTTTGATGCTTATTGAGTTAATCAGAATAATTATGTCCAGAATGTTTAGAATGTCCGAATTGGCTCGCAAACAAAAATGAAATTATTGATTAATTTTAAATTAACAACTTTTTACTATTGTTTCGGATAAAGGTGTACTGTGCAACAGCAACAAATCATAATAGGAGTTACGTAAAATAATTTAAAACCCAGTACAATTTTTAATCAAATAAAATCATTAAGTATTCATAAATTAATACATTGAATAGTAGGTATAAAATCATTATTTATGTAATAATTTCCAATCCTTCGAGATTGTGAAATATATTATAACTATGTATTTAAGTCCATCTCCGCGTCCCTAAATATAAATTTTATCCCCTCCAACCATACGACTGCCAAATGCAAACTATTAGCGTATCGCGACAAACCTCCCGTTCCAATGATCACGTCAACATGTGATGACATCACGCGATCTTAAGTTGCATATGTGCATCCCCACAATAATTAATGTTCTCAACAGAAAAAAAATAAACTCGGCAGGAAATCTTATGTATTATGAAAGAATTAACTACTGAGTTGCGTAAATATGACGCAGATTGGAATTAAACATTTCGTTGTTTGCAAATTTGAACAGTCGTCACATCCTGCCTGACTATTGTTTAAAATTTTAATGCTCCAATTCCGCCTCTACTGCTTCCCGTGGACGGTTTGGTCTCCCACTGTTAATATTATTCTTGTCGAGAAAACAGGCGAAAAATATAAGAGAGCTCGAATTTGAACATTATCATCTATAGATTGGTAAGCTGAGATACACTAAAAGTACATTTGTTTTTTGTGAAATATTCAAAATTGGATACAGCTTTTCAAAAAACGTAAAATAAAACTACAGATAACTTTTTTTGTCCTACTGTTCTGAATAAGAGATCTATGTATAAGTGACGGAAATTCGGGCCTCTCTTGTCCTCGTTTCGTGCAACTGGTTTTTAGTTAGGAAACTAGCCTTCCCCTCGGCGCTTCGCGCCTCTAAACCTCCTCCCCCCACCAACCGTGCGATACACATTCCGGGGCGATTCGCGCCGTTAAACCCCCTCCCCCACCAATCGGGTGATTGATAGCAATTTCTAAATGTAGCATGCAAAACAATAATTTCGACATTTTTACATTTGACCTCGTCTACACGGCCACGGAGAAATCGTACGTTGAAATGACAACGATTTCATAAATCCCCACCTCAAGTACCTTTTATAACCCGTGGAAATAAAATTTCGACATTTTTTCCCTGTGACCTCGTGTCGCGGTCATTTGGTCGTTCGATTGTCAAAATTACCTATTCCATTCGATGCTACTTCCAAACTCCTAATAATTGGACTCTCCTCATGGCGTCTTGGTTTCTCAAAATACTGTGACCTAAGACCTGGCGCAGTGACCTTTACGGTGGCGGGGTTTTGAAATCAGTCAAGTTTGAGAATAGGTGTTAATAAAATGAAAAATGCGGCGTGACGTGTCGCATTGCTCCGTTTGCACACATTACTGCGTTGCCTCGCTCAGTCAAAAAGAGAAAGGCAAAACTGAGTAGTGTGAGCAGCGCACTGCACAAGCTGGCAACGTTGAAGGCAACCAAATACACAAACAACCAAACATGAGGTGTTCTCTCTTAATAGTATGATGGATTGTGCATTCATAAAAATGTTGTTAAACAAACTTTTATTTATTTTTAGTTTAACTTTTTAATATGTCCAATTTTTAATATTTCGTATTGTAAGCCAGTTTAAAAAATATATATTTTGCCCAATAGCATCCCTACAAATATCCATAAATCCATATAAAACATTTCGCTCCACATAATACTTCGTAAACCAAATTATTTAAATAATTAAATTTCGCGCCCTGTTAACACCAACACTAATAAATACATATTTCATGACATTACAGCGCCAATCTTCAATACCATGCAGCGGCCCCTAACGATTCTCATCTTGTCCCTCCTCGTCGCCGTACTCCTGCCATCAGTCGACTCAAGTGCCGTCAATTTGAAAAGATGCGCAAACGGCAAGTCGTTCACTGCCCCTTGTGGAGAGAAGGCTGGTCACGACCGGAAAAATCCTGGCGCCCAATGTGCCTCCCGAGTGGCAGATGTCACATATTGGTGTCAAAGCAATCAAATGGATTATTGGGGTTTTTGTGACTGCTGTAGGAAAACTGGTGGCGGCAGTTGCCTCCAAATCACTACAAATGAGAGTTGGACATGGAAATATTACGATGGCGCTCCCATGTAGACAGCACCTTTGGAAAACAAATACAAGTGGAACAACTTTTTCAAAATTGGAACGCTTCTCTTTCATTTGGGAAAATAAATAAATATTTAACATCATCTTAATCAATAAAATTCAGCACAATCCGTTCGGTCGGGCATTATTGGGCCATAATATCGGTTGTAGTGGCTTTCCTCCAGAGCAGTTCCTATATCGGTGTCGTAGAAGTATGACAAAGCCAACTTAAATATACTGGTCAAGTTAGGGGCATTTCACGTTTTTACGGCTAAAAATAGATTTTCTAGACTCCACCTCGTCTCTACTTTAACATGGCGTACATACAAAGGGTTCGTCGTGTAGGTGAACCTGAAAAATATTACACCAATGCAAATCATAATCATTACCTATCATAAAATTTTCCACGCGACGCATACCGCTCTCATTTACCAAGTACATTTTGGTAAACATTTTTCGTTAAGGCCACCACTACGTGACCACTAAACAGTGGTCACGTTTTTGTGAAGTCATAGGTCTGCAGGAGGAGAATCACTGTTGCCGTATATATTCAACTTCCAATGCTGCGGTCGCGAGTATCTGAGACAGAGCTCCACGCCGACCCTAATTACGGCGGCGGCAGCGCGAGCTGTAAAACTACTCGGCGGCGGCGGCGCGCCGCAGCGCGCCGAACGGAGGGTCAGCGGCGGCGCGCCTAGGCGCGCCGATCTCCAACTCGTCCATAAATTTTCAAATCCCGTAAAATGTCCCGTACATTACCATTAATTAATATTCAGTGTCAAAATAATAGTGCAAAAATAAGTGAATTTATAGCTGGTCACGAAATTACGACACTTAATTTTATTAATACGCCTTAATTTCATTAACAAGAAACCCAAAATTTCAAATGAAATATTAATACTTTGTGGCTTCACCATTTCTCTGCACGACTTCAAAGACTCTATTTGGCATTGATGTGATCAAGTTTTTCAACTCGCCAACCGTAATCTTGTCCCATTCTAGTTTTATGGCGTCTTTCAACTCTTGTTTAGATTGGAACTGACGACCATTGGCGTATACACGCCGCACCAATATGCCCCAGAACTTCTCAATCGGGTTGAGGTCAGAACTTTTTGAGGGCCATAGCAAAACATTGACTTTCTTCTCAGAAAACCACTGATTTGTGTGCCTTGACGCATTAATCGACGCGTTGTCCTGTTGAAAAATCCAACTTCTTCCCGCGATTTTGCAACCATGTCGCAACAAATTATTTTGCAGAATATCCACATACCCTTGCGAGTTCACGGTATTCTCAATAAACGCCAAATTACTTTACCCTTTGACCCAAATGCTGACCAGATCATGACGGATCCTCCTCCACTTCGGCGCTTAGAAAAAAACCTAGGCTCTTGCCTTAAATCATTCCAGTAATTTCGGAATCCATCTGGACCGTCCAAATTCCATTTCTTCTCATCACTGAAGATGACCTTTTTCGGTCCATGACATAAGATTCTTGGCCCACTCCAGCTTCTCGGTCAGGGGTGGTTTTACCTTCACCTTTGAGTACGACAAATTTGTCGACGATGTCATAACCCTAGAAACAGTCCTACGGGGGACCGCAAGTCCTAATTTGTCGTTATTTTTGTTTTGCTGAGGTCGAGGCATTGCTGGCTTCACGCAGAATTCGTCATTTTTCACGGTCGGTAACCGATCCCTTCCTCTTTTTGCACAGCCGGACGCCATAATCTTCGCCTAATTCCAGGTAGCTTCGAATCACACAACGAGACCTTCTAGTGGCGTCTGAAATTTGTTGTAAGTTCTTCCCCTGGGCCTGCAACATGTCAGTTTTGACTCTTTCCTTTACGGTGAGGGAGGGTTTCTTTCCCATGGTCTACTAAATATTAACAAATGTAAACAAAGCATTAAAATATGCATTATAATACTTAATATGGGTCACAGTTTTATAAAAAATACTCACATATTCAATTTCATTGGAAATTTCACAAAAAAGTATTGTGCAGCTGAGCCGGTTTCAAGTGTCGTAATTTCGTGTCTCGCCTTAAAACTGCACTTTCACTTATAAAGCTTGCTCCAGAGTTCGTGGCATTGTCACGACCTGTTACCATAACGCCATGATCATGTCATCCGATATCATCCATAGTTTTACGAGCATCATGAAATTTCCTCTCATCTTCATGTCACCATACTTATCATCATGACATGAAGTATAGACTTTTTTAACATGCCGCTCCGAAATCGAAAAAAAGTATTGAAGTTGATTTTGTTTCGTCGAGTTATACAACGACGAAGAAAACCACAAAGGACGATATATATTCGAGATATCTTCGAAAAGCGTGGAGAGCAAGGCGAAATGAACCTTGTCAGGGAGCTCAGCGAAGATCCGGAGTATCATTTTAAATACTTCCGGTAATTTTTTATTCATACGTATTTGTATGTATATTTTGAATTATTTGGATAAATAATTATTAGAATGACAAAGGAGCATTTTGAGGAGTTATTCGAACTTATTAAAGCTGATATTAGCTGGGAAATCTAACCATCGCAGACCAATTACACCTTTGGAAAAGCTAGCAATAACTCTGAGGTACATACATAATTAAGTAAATAGAGCAAGTGCAGAGTTTTTCACAAAATTATTCTTGAAATCTTTGCACAGATATTTAGCGAGTGGAAATTCTCAGATTTCATTGGCATTTAATTTCCGAGTATCGCCTCAATCTGTTTCTGTCATCGTTCGAGAAGTAATGACATCAATATGCAAATTTCTGGGACCTCTGTATCTCAAGCGTCCGACCACAAGTGATTGGGAAAATAACGAGCAGGGGTTTCGCACACGCTGGAATTATCCCAACGCCATTGGGGCCATTGATGGCAAACATGTAAAGATTCGGGCTCCAAAATTTGCCGGTTCTACTTATTACAATTATAAGCACTTTCATTCAATTGTTCTGCTCGGAGTTGTGGATCCATTCTACAAATTTACGCTGGTGGATATTGGGGCAAGTGGATCACAGTCGGATGGAGGGGTCTTGTCACGGTCCGCGATGGGAAAAGCAAGTGACGATGGTTCGATAGGATTTCCACCGCCAAGAAATGTTGGGAACAAGATCCTCCCGCACGTCATTTTGTGCGATGACGCTTTCTCTTTAAAACAAAATATGATGAAACCATACCCCGGATCCTTTCTCCCAGTTGAAAGACGAATTTTCAACTACCGATTAAGTCGTGGGAGAATGGTTGTCGAGAACGCGTTTGGAGTACTAGCAGCACGCTGGAGGATATGCCACACAGCCATCACTGCTGACCTGGACTTGACTCGTTTGATCATACAAACATGTGTAATTTTGCACAATTACTTAATTTCAAAGCAAGATATGTGTAACATTACTATGGATGGACCCAATGGCGAAAGAGGAAACTGGAGAGATTCAGTGGAAAATGATTCTGGGTTGCAAAACATTCAACGACAAGGAACAAATAATTATACCGTATCCGCAAGTGAAGTTCGAAAAGAGTTTTGCAATTACTTTAATAATGATGGAGCTGTAAGTTGGCAAAATGATAGAATTTAATTGTTTTGAGCCGAAATATTACATGTACACAATGTTTGCATTTCATTTACAAGTTTATATTGAGAAAATAAAAAAATAACTTCATAAAATACTCCACAGAAATTAAATTAAATAATCTAATGCTGTAACTTCCATTTCGTGTATGAGCTCAACTGCTTTCATTTGATACTCCAAAAATAATTTCCTCGAAACTTCATATATTCGTCTCATTTTCGAAGAAATTAGTTTTCCAAAAGTGTCGAACTCGTCATCTTCCTCTTTCATCATGGTAAGTATTTCGGAATCAAACTCGTCTATCTTTCGCTAAAATTTTAATTGTAATTAAAATGTTAACGTTCTTCATTAATATTAGGATTAATATTTATTTATCATTACCTTCCTCCCGAATTTCGAATGACTTCGAGATGGTGGTAACGCTTTTAATAGGCTCACAAGGTTCGAAGCAATATTCTCTTCTGGTACTGTGACATGTTCAACGTCTTCAACATCTTGTAATTGTGACACATCTATGACATGAATTTCGACATTTTCGTCCCCGTTTTGTGAATCAAGGTTTGAAATTGTTCTAAGGACGGCATAAATATGTAATTTTTCACAAATACTTTTTAATATACAAACTCTTACTTAATGTCACCAGCTTCGCAGCCTTTTAGAAACCCCACTCCAATTTCATGGCTAAAGAAAGGTTGTTTTCCGTCTGATCCTGACGACTTGTTCAATTTTTTCATAAATGCCATAAACTGAGACCGCAAGCCTTGCCACGTCTTTTTTATAATTTTAACTATACCATATAATATAGAAATTAAATTAAGTAAATAGAGATATTGATTTTTATCAAGTACCATTGAGTCCCAATTCTGCTCCGATTTCCATCCACACTTTGTTTTTCTTATTTGCGTTCATAACGTCAGGGTGTCTTTTTTCCCACAATTCCTGATGATCCCTCAGTTTTTGTCCACTTGTAGAATCCATTTTGTGGTAATATCACGATTAAAATAAATTTTTGGCAAATATATTTCCGAGAGTTTTGTCTTCATGTGATCAAAAGTAGATCGGTGATCAACTTTCACTTGACGACATGATGTTGACATGAAATAGCCCATGATGCAAAGTATGGATGATTTCTCATCACATGAAACTTTCTTCACATGACAACGGAAGGAAATGTCATGATACAGAAAAAAACTATGGATCGGAGGGTGGCATGACATTACGTGAAATTACGTGAAATTACGTGACTATGGAGCCGGCTTAATTCTAAAGATTGCAATTTGTAAAAAATAGCTGACCTCTAAAGCCAATCTCAAGGTAAAATATATGGTTTCCTAAAATTTTAGATTTCCTGGGTAACAGTTTTGTAAAATAATCATAAAAATGTTAGTGTCGTAATTTAGTGGCCAGCACTGTACGAGGGCCTGTCAGTAAATACCAAGAACTTATTTATTCCAGCAAAATCAGAAGTATCTACTTAAATTCATTTTATAGTTTTTCAACATTGTCTCCCCCTTGTTGAACGCAACACTCAATCATGTGTCTCAGTTGCTTCATTCCTTCAAAATAAAATTCTTTAGAATTATGGGACGATTAGGTTCGTTTCTTGCACTTGCACGGAATCCAATGAACTTCCAATGAACTTGCACGTCATCCTTTATATACCCACCGTTTTTATGGCAACCGTGATTGATGTTCTTGTATTAATTTCGATAGGAAAGGCCAGTATTCCATACCGATCCTCATCAGAACTAATTCGCGTACTAAAAGCAGGGAGGCCAACGAAACTCGTGCTTAAAATTATTGCATCTGTACAACCTTTGGAGACGAATGTAGGTTAGTTTGTAAAAATACGAGTATATAGACACTGCACCCACGTTGTACCAAGTGCTTTGTGTGCATACATTTAATCCTTTGTTAGTATTTTAAATATGCATGATCGTATAACTATTGCCATCTTTATTCTATTTAATTAAAGTTTATGATGTACATATGTACATATAAAACTACTACAAAACCTTGTTTGAACCTTGTTAAGATTTACATTTAAAGTTGTAGAATCTCTTATGTATGTTTAAGAAATGATAAGTAGGTGAGTTTATTACGCAAGTTACACAATTATTATCACTAAAAAATACCAAATGGCTTCCAATTTCTGACAATTTAAAAAATAACCCTACTTGCTTAAGTTTTTAATTCGGCAGGTGCATCAGCTCACCGAATATTGTTTTTTTAATAATGATTTATTGTCATGAATTAGGACTAGTCATAATCTAGCTTTCTGTATTGTTGTCACTAAAATTTAGAAAAGTGCGAGTAGGAAATTCTCTTTTCAAAAATACAAAGATAACATTCGAAATGCGGGGAAACTGTTTTCGTGGTCCAACCATCTGATCGCTAAATTACACTATCATGCATATCTTGATACACATAAAAATTTGCCTTATCTTCCAACTTGGTGGACATAGTCATTTAAAATTTTGCAGGTTTGTAGTTTGGAAAGATTGAGGAGGAATGCCGGTCCCATTCGCGAAATATGTGAAAAAGGTCAAAGGTCATAATTTGTTCAAAAAAAGCTCACTTTTCAGCTACCACAAACAATTTTTCTCCTTGGTGGTTTTATTTTTATATCGAAAGTAGACGTAATTCTGAAAAGATTGAGATTTTGCCCCATAAGCGCAATGTTATAACTTTTCAAAACTGCACTTTTCACCGAATTACTGTGGGCGTTAAAAAAATGGCACGGAGGTGTATGACATGTCAATCTTTTCAGAATTACGTCTACTTTCGATATAAAAATAAAACCACCAAGGAAAAAAATTGTTTGTGGTAGCAGAAAAGTGAGCTTTTTTTGAAAAAAATATGACCTTTGACCTTTTTCACATATTTCGAAAATGGGACCGGCCTTCCTCCTCAGTCTTTCCAAACTACAAACCTGCAAAATTTCAAATGCCTATGTCCACCAATTTTGAAGATCAGGCAAATTTTTATGTGTATCAAGATATATGCATGATACTGTATGTAGTTTTCTTAAATCCATTTGGTGTAAGCAAGGATTAAGACTTGGCGAACCGCTAGAAATGTCTGGGTGTATCGAGGTACTGTAGCAACAAATTGTAAAACTCTGGTATAATCAACTAAAACCTAAAATGTTTCCCTTAACTTTACACAAATTAGCAAAAAAAATTTACACATTTCTCCCAGTAATTTCATATATAAAATCTAAGACGGCTGTTATCCTCGTGAACACTACAGGATTTCCGTCTTCACAAAATGGATTCACCGAGGAAGAAACAATTCCCACAAGAGTGTAGTGTGGATCCACACCTTCACGTATCATTAACGGACCCCCAACATCACAACGACAAGGAGATTGTTTAGGTGCCGGCTTGGCGCACATATTATTTCCAGTGAAAACCCACTTGTCGGGATTATGTAATGGGCTGCACACCGAGTTATTCACTATGATCAAATTTGCCTTCTGGAGAACTGGGCTTGAGCTGCCTGTGTCACTGTTTTCACCCCATCCCGTCACAAAGGCGGACAGTGTGTGATTTCAAATAGAATTTATTTCCTACAGCTTGCACAAATCTAAAGTATAGATCGACCATCACCTGGTTCTCAAAAGTCTCTGCTAGACGTGTCCACTGCTGTAGGCAAATGGGGCGGATATTGTTTGAAAATGTGAGTTTTGCAGGTAGGCGAATGATCGCAATGTCATGAGATACAGGGACAACTCCCCACTTGGGATGAGCGAAGATATATTGTCGAGTTACATTCAGTATAATACGACCAGGTTCGTCTTCATTCGACGCGTTTATGTTATGACCCCCTATCAATAGGGTGACGCTGTCTGAATAGACAACACACTTGGCTGGAGGAACAACAAGGCATGATTTATATGCCAACTGGAATTTAGTTTTCAACTATTTATTAAGTATTTACCCGCTGTTACAATGTGGTTAGCATCAATGATACTCCCTCCACAGTAAACCTTATTGTCATACAGTAATGCAACCATCCAGGGGTAAGTGTGTGGCTCGGCTGGGTTGTTGCCAACTATGCGACTCTTGTTCCCCACAGAGTTAACTCTTTCTGAGTTCTGACCAGTCCTAACAGCCATGGCTGGCATGGCTGTTGTAGTTGATTGGGAGTCATATGTTGAACGACCACAAATTCGGTCATCTTCAGATTCCAAATCACCTTGCGAAGGGTCAATAAGTTTGACCACATATAGTAGTTTGAAGCCACTAACGAGAAATTATTTGATAAGGAGGAATCCTCGTTTATCGTTAGTATCCGATGTCTCTGCCCGTTGCAGTACCACATGAACACATTCCATCTCCTAGAAGATTTTATTGCATGGCCTCATCTGCCCCGGCTAAACCCTCTGAAAGGAATTGATACAACTACAACTGATGAAGAAACTACAGTGGCGTTACATCAGTGGCAAAATTTTCAGTGTCCAAGCGAAACTGGATTTTTGGTCAAGATACATATAGCAGAAATTAAACAGGGTTTCCCCCATTTTTGGCATATTTTAGTGAGCGCCGCCGACGGAAATAGGGCCACATACCTAAATCCTGCGGGGATTTAATTGTGATCATGTGGTACTACAACATATCCAAATGTCTATAAAATCGGATCCTGCACAGTAGACGATGTGTGCCTCTTACTATTAGTGTAACAGGACTTAGACGTTGTACAGAGTAGTTAAGAAGCAAGGTATTAAGCGAACTGAATAATCTTGGGTAATGTTTTCTGAAATTGCTAGGCACAGGGTTCCCGAGTAACCTGTTATTGGGAGCAGAAACCCCAACACCCCAATATTCAAAATACCCAAGGTTACAAGACAACGTAAAGGAAAGTCACTACTTTGCAGAAATCATGTGGAACAAGTATGGAAAAATACAAGTGGTAAGTTTTCACTTCAAGTTATTTAGTAAAGTTCTATAAAATTTTATAATATTTTAATTTTTTGAGGGGTTTCACGTCGCCATCGCAAAATTCGTAAATAACATAAATTTACAATATTAACAAAAATCCTAAATATGCTCATGAAGCTTCGTAAATTTATGGGACGTCCATTTCCTGGGTAAAAAAATAATAACAGCCCAGTTTTTTTGTAAAAAGTTTCGTTGTACAAATCTCCATGGTGATTTCATCTATTTCGATTGGATTGTAGAAACTGTACACGTGCGGATTTATTTACGAGGGTCGTTCAGGTGAACGCGTTACAGATAGCGTAGATTTACGAATATTTATGTACGAACCCACAGTTACCAAGTTCGTGAAAACCGTCATTTATATAGTTATCTGACTAGGTATACTCGCGAGGTGTCGTCTGGACCTAGCTATCCCACTATGTTTTTTATAATCCACTTAAGTCTCATATGAAGGATCCAATCTTATTTCCGTGTAAAATTCATATTTGGCGACGTGGCGTAGCGCAAAACTTAAAAAGATGGATATTTGACCAATTTCAAACCTCCATAACTTTTGAAGTTTAAGCGGGATTTTCAAAATTTTTGGATCAAAATGATCACAAAAATCGGAATTTTACGAAATAATTGAAAAACGAAAATTTCCAATTTTTGAATAATTTTTTAACTTTTTTCGCCCGATTCCTCGATCGGAATATTTTCGAAATTTTCGAAAATTTTGAAAAAAATAAATTTTTGTTCTTGTGTGAAAATTTAACAATTTGTGATCATTTTGGTACCAAAATTTTGAAAATCCATCCAGAATCTCAAAAGTTATGACGATTTGAAAATTAAAAACACGCAAATTTGGCGAATTTGGCGCCAAATATGAATTTTACACGGAAACAAGATTGGATCCTTCATATGGGACGTAAGTAGATCCTAAAAAACATAGTGGGATGGCTAGGTCCAGACGACAGGTCGCGAGTATACCTAGTGAGTACCTCGTAACATTAATTCTCAATTCGTCGGTGTGTTTGATTCGGGACTATTGGAGAATCGCAAACTCGAAACTTTACTTTACCTCTTGAAAAGTAGTATGTACATATGTACATATTATTTTCACTTAACGGAACAACATGTATTTTTTTAAATCTACGGGTTGCCACAATGGGAAAAATTTCTCATGGATTTTTACAATTTTCAAAACACACTCAGCCTGTGAATGTGTACATATTTACTTACTTCGTCGACCTAATGAAGGGCAGGGTAGGACACATGATTGGAAAAAAAATAATTCATGACAACTACGAAGTGTTTCCAATGAGATGAGATGAGATCGTCTGATGAGTTTTAGATCAGATGAGATGGGATTGGGGCTAAATGAAATAAGATATTGTATTAATCCACCAAAATGTTGCAATATGAGATGAGATGAGATTAAGGTAGATGAGACACATAAGAAGTAATGTGAGAGTGAGATGAGTGAGGGAGGATCGTAGGTGTGCCGCACACCTACGCTCCTCACGTAGGCACACCGTGTGCCTACGATATTGAAAATCGGGCGTAATTGACCGAAAAGTCGTCACCACGTGCGGCACGTGACGTGCCCAAATGCCATTTTTACACGGAAGTTTTGACACATCTAGAATTAAAAACTAGGTCCCATCTCTCTCTCTCTCTCTGGTAAATACAACTAGTTAATTTTATAAATGGATTATTAATTATTAATTAACCTTAAGCAAAACTTAGACAAAACCATTAAATTTAAAGTATTACTACTAACAATGCGATGACGCCAGCGGTCTCGCTCCGATTTTGATGAAACTACGTAATTATGTAGATTCACACAAATAATTGGACACATATTTCTGGTTTTTTCATAATGCTCAGTTTAAGCAAAGTTATGGTGGTATAAGTGGCGAATATTGACAATTTTCTCCCTGGCAAATGCGTTGACCTTTACTTTCATTTTTCCTCCGTTTTTACTCAATTTCGCTTCTCGCAACATTGACTTTGATAATATTTTTTTTAATTCGAATTAAAAGTATAAATATATAAAATAAATATATAACTGAAATTAGAAAAACATAGAGGTATGTAAAATTAACGATATAATCGTCATTTTATTTAACAAATTATTAAATTTAAACCCTGTGAAATTTTTTTTATATTAGAAGGAAAAAATATTCTCAACGGCAATAATTTATTGAATAAAATAAGGATCAACGTTAATTTTACATACCTCTATTTTTCTAATTTCAGTTATATATTTATTTTACATATTTATATTTTTAACTCGAATTTCAAAAAAAATATTCCCAAAGTCAAAGTTGCGAAATTAAGAAAAAAGGAGGAGAAATGACAGCAAAGGTCAACGCATTTGCCAGGGGGAAAAATGTCAATTTTCGCTCACTTATTCCATTATAACTTTGTTTAAATTAAGCATTATGAAAAAACCCGAAACATGTGTCTAATTATTTATGCAAATTTTTTTTTTCACGTGTTAATCATTTAGGGACTTGCAACCCTTTATTTTCAGTAAAAATTTTTTTTACACACCGGATTCCAAAACTATAACTATGACTAAAAACATAGGAATCACAGCATGTTTCTATCATTGCTCTAAAAGAATATTAGTAAATATGGTGCGTTTAAAGCTAATCTACTTGAGAATAAAGAAAAATAAAAAATCGGTAAAAAAAGGCGCATTAAATAATTTTTAGGAAATTATTTAAAAAATTCGACTTCATGACAAGCCCACGAGGGAATTAACCCCTGAGGTCAGTTTCAGGGGAAAATCCACCTCACCCGCGGAGTTTAATGGGATTGGGAAATCCTCCGGGGGAGGCAAATCTACTCGTCTAATGTAATCATAATTATGTAAAGCTACATAATTATGTAGTTTCATCAAAATTGGAGCGAGACCGCTGGCGTCATCGCATTGTTACTACTACTAACTATGACTACTATTACATATGACTACCGATTAACATCATTTCTAAAATTTATATTTTCACATACATTCTTAAATCCTCCCGTTTCTTGTTAAATAAATAATTATATGAAGCTCCAATAATACTAAAAAGTGAAATTTATAACGATACTTTCCTTTCTTATAGTTCAGCCAGGCCGCGATTTACTGAAGAAATTCCAGGCGTTGCTGAGACCGTTGTAAGTGTATTTATGTATGTATGTATGAATACCTGCTTACAAGTTGTGTTTATGAGTGAATTTTGTCCTCTTTTTAACTCTAGAACATAATTAACCCTGACCAATATGATGAATGGGAAAAACCACTACAGTTCACAGAGGCTGATTTTGAGTTAAACCGCAAGCCGAGTGTACTTGATCTGATCACCTCAAGTCTTCATCATCGTCCTTATCAGCAGAATTAGAAATCTTGAACTCCTCAAGATAATAAATTATCGACAGGATAATCTCAACTGTAAATATTTATTTATTTACGTACATAAATAAAGTCACAATCCTAATTATGAAAATGATAACATAAATATTAACCTTGCGTAATTTTGTAGTTTAGCATTGTTCGTGTTTAATAAAATACTTGATGCTCTTCTGAACAAGCATGCTGTTTGGTGGCAAAGTTTACCATGTTCATATAGTTGGCGAACTCGTAAAAAGTTTATATTATATTTTTATTGCAAAATAGACTTTCCAAGTCGTACGAAATGTACGGACTTCAACAGCAGCATGGTTTTCGTTCGGAAATTTACATATTTAAGTGCCTGATACATATCTCGTCAATGACTAGAGTCCGATCGGATAGGATAAAAAAATATTGGTATCCGATAGGATAAATCTACTTCGTAGAAACGGCAACCCTATAAGTGACAACTTGTCACTATGACAACCACTCTGAAAATCTTCCAACCAAGTATAAAAATAATACAATAATAATGCGATTTTTTCCTATGGATTTTGCTACGATTTTCTCGTAGTATTTTCTCGCAGACTAATTATTTTTGAGGTTTTTCTAAGGTTAGGGTCATAAATGTACGACTCCTGTGTAGTCAGCTTTTTTTATCAATAATTTTGTGTAATGCCAATAAGGGAAACTCTGCGATATGCAATTTACTTATGCGAAATAAATAAAAAACTTTTATTAAAATAATACAGAAAATGCTTACTGTTTTTTTTACATATTATGTCAAACGTTTGCAGACTTATAAATGATACAAGTTATGTATGGTGAATAGGTTACAAACTTAACGTGAGTTGTCCCACGGTAATGTATTTACTAATTTATTTGTGAGTAAGTATACCTTGAATCCACGCAGGTTCGATCACATACTAATAAATAATCCTCTTTATTATACAAAATGTAAAATACAACAATAACTAAGTGAGTCCATTAAGTTACCAAGCTACAGATTATTACGCGATAAATTAAAATGCATAGGATAATTATGGCAAAAGTAGTGGTGATTTATCATGAAATAAGTGATGACTGCAAAATATCACATTGTTGATTTATGGCTAAATTCAATCTCCAGAATATGAAGCAAAGTAAAAGTTAAATTTAAAAAATGTGACATTTTGCAGATATGCAGGACTAATTTTGGCTACATGAAATTCTATCACTGCCTTTACCTTGGTAAACACAACAGCAAATCCGAGGAAAAATTGGTGCTGCAAACATTCTTTGTTATATTATTCGGTTTGGAAATACAAAATAATTTTTTTACTGCTCGTAATAAAGTATAGGGATTAAATTAATATATTTATAATTGACTGATTTTATATCCCAACTAAAAATACGTGACATACATGATGATGCCAGTCCATTATGTACTTGATGGTAAAATTATTTTTATGCAGCTATACTAAATATATTACATGTGCATAAAATTGTTGTATGTATATAGCCTATATACAACAATTTTGCAAACAATTGGTTGCATTTAATTTTTAATAGTTTATTCCCAGCATTTTTGAATATTACATATTAAATGAGAGCATTCATACCTTGTAAACAGGAAATACATGAATGTCTTAAGAGGCACAAAATTAAAGTCAGCAAAGCATATGATGATACAAGGCCGTATAATCAAGATAAGTTATAAAAGCCATAGTAGAAAAAATTAACATAGTTATTACCCATGCAACGCGATTTATCCCGTTGCTGTAATATTTAGCTCCATACTTGGAGGTTCTGGATGATCCAAATGAAGCTTTCCAAGGGACATCCCTTGGAACTCTTTTTTGGATAATCTAGGCTTCCTAAGCATGACAAAGTTGCACATCCTGAGGATGTAATTTTCCTGTCCATCACTGACAGTGGGCAGCGCCACCCTTTAATTCCTGCTGTCCTCATCAAGCCCACGTTTCATTTCAATCACACATTTTTGACCGAGAGACATACTCTTGTCATCTTGATTTATAGTTTTACTTCAATTAAATTGAAATAGTCCAAAGTCAACTATTTAACAATTTAAGATAATTTCAGGATAACGTCATAATTCTGGAAAGCAAGGTAAATCCTTAGTTACTTTGGTACTTCTGAATTTGAATATATAAAATTTAAGTTCTACGATTTCACTAAATAATTTGCCAGTTTTAATAATTATAATAAAATGAGAAAAACCATTCTTGGGAAGCGTCGGCTGCAGCAAATTGCTAAGGAAGAAGCTAGACAACAATATCAACATTCTGAACATTTTCAACCTGAACCGGAAGTTTACGAAGTAAATATTGATCAGTGCGACGAAGTTCAGCATTTTACATCCTCGGACGATGAGCAGCATGACCATGTCGATAGTGAAACAGATTATCACACCGTAAATAGCGTCCTGCCCCCCGAATCTCATTCAGTTCCAACGCCAGAGGAATTTTCAGTTTTGGAAGCACTAAAATCGTGGAGTGTAAAATTTAAAGTTAATAATGCGCAATTCACATCTCTGTTAAAAATATTAAAAGTTCATGCGTGCTTTGAAAAGTTTCCTTCTGACTGCCGTAACTTGTTAGTTGTTCGAGATAAGCCAACAATTAAGCCAATGCCACCGGGCGAATTTGTGTATTTTGGTTTGCAAAGACAAATAAATTTAATCAACGCCCCGAAGGAACTTAGCCTCCAAATTAATATTGATGGGTTCCCATTATTTAAAAGTAGTTCACAACAGTTTTGGCCCATTCTTGGAAGTTTCGTTGGGATAAGTAAAACCCCATTTGTCATCGCAATATTTGGAGGAAAAAAGAAACCAGAACTAAGTGATCATATGCTTGAAGAATTTGTAGAAGAATTTAATCGCATCAACAACTCGTCAGTTTATAATATTAAATTTCATTCTATTGTTTGTGATGCTCCTGCCAGATCATTCGTCAAAGGTGTCAAAGGTCACACGGGATATCACGGGTGTGACCGGTGTGATGTGGAGGGTGAAAATATTGAACATTGTATGACATTTTGTAGTGAAGTTAAAAATTTAAGAAGCAATCAGACTTTTCGAAATAGACAAGACGAAGACGATCATGTTCGAGAAACAGTTTTAAAAAATATCCCTTCACTTGACCTTGTTTTGGGCTTCCCTCAGGACTATATGCATCTAATTTGCCTTGGTGTAGTAAAAAAATTGCTTCATCTATGGATATCTGGTAAAGCGTCACATGAAAAACTCAGAGCTTCAGAAATCTCGTTAATTTCCGACCGGCTAGATAATCTTAAAAATAAAGTTTTATGTCAATTTTCAAGAAAACCTCGATCGCTCGATGATCTAGCGAGGTACAAAGCCACAGAATTTCGTCAGTTCCTTCTTTACACTGGACCAGTTGTTCTCAGAAACGTGGTTTCGCCAGATAGTTATCAATTATTTATATGTCACTTTCCGTTGCAATCAGGATACTTGCATCAAAAGAATTTCATCTAAGGTTGAATAATTACGCCAAAGATCTCCTTTCTTATTTTGTAAAAAAATTTGAAAGTTTATTTGGGAAAAAAAACATCTCCTACAATATCCATTGTGTTTTACACCTGGCTGAGGATGGGAGAAGGCTCGGGCCCTTAGATTCATTTGGTGCATTTCAATACGAGTCAAAACTTGGAAGTCTTAAAAAATTGCTTAGAAACTCTTACATGCCTCTTCAGCAAGTCATTAACAGACTATGTGAAGCCGAAATTGCGGAAATTAATGAAGAATACATTTGTCCAGAATTTTTACCCATGGTGGAACATACTTCCGGTCCACTTATTGATGGCACATCTAACCCTCAATTCCGTCAGCTTGTAGTGAATGGACAGTTTACGTTAAAATCAGACAGCAAAGACAGTTATATTTTAACCAAAGATATATCAATTGCTACGGTTCTAACTATTTGTTATTGTAATACTTGTAAAGAACAAGTATTATTAGTGAAGCGTCAATTAAACAAAAGTGATTTCTTCAATTGCCCCTGTGAGTCGGGAAAACTCAACATTTATTTATTTGATTATATTATAGACTCGTCGCCAGTTGAGGTGGTTCGTTTCTCAGATATTTATTCCAAAGTCCAAGTGTTTGATACTGGAGAAGGATTGGCTGCATTTCCTCTACTACATTAGTTTTAGAGAATAATGTATTGTATCGGGAAATTTCACGAGAGGAATGGAGTCTACGTAGAAGCATTTCCAGAAAAGTGGTTGACGGGTGACGGTCATTGTTAAGGGGATGATGGCGAATTTGGAAAATAAAATGGATCACATAGAAGCTATGAAGGCGTCAAAAATGCACGTACCAAATCCACCGCCATCTCAATTGCTTAATTTGGAAACGTTTGTTGAATTTGATTCAACCATAGATGAAGATCAGCATAATTTAATGGTACATTATTTGTATGGAAAATATTGATTAATTGAATATTAATTGTCCATTCAAATATTTGGTGTATTTTTAGGTCATTAAATTCAAAGGCTGCGGTGGAACATCAGTTACAGATGCAGTTGGAAGAATTATGCAGAAAATTGTGACGAATGAACTCGGAACTAAAATTTCTCTAAAAGGAATGGGGAAGAACAACTTCAATTTCTCTACCACGAATATGATGAAGTGCATCAAAGGTAAAGGATGAATTTGATAATTCAAATTTGTTTTTAATTCATTGTAATCGTCTTGTTTATTTACAGAAGGGTGCATGTTGTTATCCGGAATTGACGTTACGGAGCAGAAAGTGGAACACGCAATTGGTGAATGGTTGCGTCATTCTGGAGATCGTCTTAAAGCAGAATTGGAGAAGAAGGAGAAGCAGAAGAAGCATAAATAATAATTATGTGTACTGATTTGTAAATCTAAAAAAATTGAATTCGTTGACAATAAATATGAAATTCCATAATGTGACTAAAAACTGCGACATTTATTCCTCCAGAGCATGTCTTCTCAAATATCCACATGATATCCCCAGGAAGTCCACGTCTGGCTTTTTTTAAATTTATGGACAACCAGTGGACGTCTGGTGGATCCTCCACTGCTACTCCTTCTAACGCGAAATAGGGAGCTCCTATGGATCGAGTTTGGACAAAACATGTCATGATTCTGACATCCCTGGTACCAACTTAGATCCCGGACATTACATCTTGAGGTTATCTCAGGGATAACAGTACGTTGCATGGGTATGTAACTCAGGTATTAGATAAATCATTATTTTCCTGTCGGTAATGATGTAAATAAATATTTCTATACTTTTCTTTAAATTAAACCCAATAATCTGCGATTTATTGCATAAAAGTCACAAAATAAGGGGCATCCGCAAAAGTGGGTGTGAATCAGAGACCTGCAACCCCATAAAAAGACAGGGGGCGTTACAAGGAATTCGCTTGCTACTCAAAATCGAGAATTTAAGGAACAATGCTCCGCACAGCTTATTGATACCGATGTCAATCCATTTTACCTAAGAATATGGATGTCGATGGAAATTGGGCCCGGGAAAGAATATCGATTTTTTACATTTGTTGATATTACCCATCTCTGTGCAAATGTACGAGTATACATATTTAGATCGGTGAGTCACATATTTTCGATTCAACCCATTAACTATTATCAAAATTTCCAAAGCCTTCTTGACAATGGAGTTGATAACGGGATTAAAGCTCGTTTAATCATTTATTACAGAATGCCTTGTTAAGCTGGAACTCACCTTTTACAAACGAGGCGAGATTTAAATGATTAGTTGGATTTCCCCGTAATCAATCGTGTACCCATTTACAACTAACATTTAACATGCAAGAGATAGCCTCAATTAAGTAATTTGTCTACCGTGGCATCAGCACAATGCGAGCGCCACTAATGACAATAATCCCACTGACAACATTGCAATCTCTATTTTCACTAAAGCCAGGCAGCTCTTGAACAATAAATAGCCTAAAATTGGGTACAACCTGGACAGTTGTACTTGAAGCAGATTGCATTAGTACGATTTTTGATGTCGTTTTTTAATATTTACCCAACTTTATGTCAGCATTGTTAAATAACTTTGTAAAATGAAGTGTCAGAAATTTTTTGGTTTCTTACTTTTGTCGTCAATGGGTAACACATGAATTCAATTTGCGTTGGCCAATTCCTGGAAAACGTTAGAAATACAAAAAAAAATAATTTTTTTTCAGGTCTCGCCCAAGAATGCTACCCAGACGAGGAACGAATCGATTGTCATCCCGACATGGGTGACACACCGGAACGGTGCGCTGCCCGAGGTTGCATTTACTGTGATGCTCATGTCCCTAACCAAAACGTTCCAATCTGCTATCTCCCACGAGACTACAGCTACTTTATGGTGGGATTGCCGGAACAAATTGAAGACGGGTTCAGGTAATCAAACTCATTGACTATGTCCAGAATTGCCCTCAGTGAATACCTACAAACGATATATTTCATCACAAATCGTATTATTAAATTCGCTTTCAGAGTGAATCTTGTTCGAAGATCGACGGACACCATGTTCGGGGGTGACTCTGCCAACCTCACTCTCATCGCTGAATTCCAGTCGGATTACAGACTACGCATTAAGGTTATCTTTCATATATGTGGTTTTAGCGGGTTATCCGTTTATCCGTATTAACTTACATGTTCCCCCTGTCTCCAGATAACGGATGGAACTCCCCGTTGGGAAGTTCCACTTCGGATAGATCCACCATCTGGTGGAAACCAAAATCCCCTTTATGGCATTCGATTCACTAATATCCCCGCGTTTTCTTTTAAAATTTTGCGTCGAGCAACAGGCACAACTTTGTTTGACACTTCGCTGGGAGGATTCACATTTGCGGATCAGTTTCTTCAAATGGGAATTAAACTCCCGTCTCGAAATGTGTATGGAATTGGGGAAAATGAACAACCCACTTTCCGACATTCTTTCGAAAAGTGGCCGAGATGGGTCCTTTGGGCTAAGGGTCTTCCACCTTCGGTAAATATTTCGACTATTTTATAAACAGTAGATTTTAAATTTGAATACAGGTTATGGTTTCGGTATCTAGTATGATGCCTCTCTCTACGGAGTTCATCCCCACTACACGGTTCTGGAAGAGGATGGAAATGCTCACTCTGTTGTCATCGTCAATAGCAATGCTCAAGGTAAGGTTTCCTCAAATTATTCTTGAGCTAGTATGTTATTCTGGTAAAATATTGTCGTTAAACTAAACAATGTTAATTTTCATACTTCTTCCAGAGTTTGTGATGCACCCACATCCCGGAATTGTGTATAGGACGATAGGTGGTATTTTCGACATATACATGTTTCTGGGACCCACTCCAGAAAATACAGTGGAACAGTATACCGAGGTATTTGATCAATTTAGACTACACATGTCTTGTATAGGTCGGCATAAGCATTTGACCAAATTTTCATGCTCCACTGTACATTCAAAGCGGTCGAAAGATTTCCCCTCCCACCGTATTGGTCTCTTGGATTTCAGCTCTGTCGTTTTGGATATGATCACATTGATAACCTAAGAACCGTCGTGGATCGGATGATCGCTTCCGAAATTCCTTACGTGAGTAAAAAAAAAAGTGATTGATAATACAAAGTAAATAGAAACGTTGCTATGATTAACAATTGTTATTTTAAATTCTAGGACGTACAATATGGCGACATTGGCATTATGGATAGACGATTAGATTTCACCGTCGACCCCATTAATTTTGCAGGGCTTGCCGAATACGTGACGGAATTGAGAACAAGAGGGATTAAGTTCATGACTATTTTGGTATGGAGGACTAAAAATAAACTTTTTCCGCATATATATATTTCGTCATTTGGGATCCGAATGGAATACAACCACTGACATTCAAAATATTAGGATCCCGCCATCAGTGTTGGAGAACCCGCCGGTACTTACCCAGCATTCGATCTTGGTCAGGAAATGGACGTCTGGATCAAAAAGTCGGATGGAACCCCGATGCGGGGTCGAGTTTGGCCTGAAGACCACGTATATTTTCCCGACTTCCATAAAAATGCCACTAGAGAGTGGTGGATTTACTTGATTAAACAGTTTCACGAGGAATTGGACTTTGATTCATTATGGATTGTAAGATTTCAGGATTGCCTGTGTAAAAGTATTTTATCAAATTTCCTCCATATTTGAAATTTCGGATATTTCTAGGATATGAATGAACCCGGTAATTTTGTTAACGGCGATATTGTGCAAGGTTGCCCCACCAATTCTATAAATCAACCTCCATACCTACCTCGTAAGTATTAGGCGACCTGCAAAGTTGTTAAATATTGATAACCGAACTATAATACACTTCTATCTAACTCATTCAATTTGAAGGAGTTCGGCAAAATTCACTGTATGATCACACCCTTTGCCCTGACCACATTGATTCTGCCGGTATTCACTACAACACGCACAATCTGTACGGTTGGTCAGAGTCGGAACCCACAGCTACGTAAATAACCAAAATTTAAACTTCACCACGGCTGAAAATTAAATACATATACCAAATTATTACTTTTTAATTCATTCTACCAGTGCAACTACGCAAGCCGTAGGAAAAAGGACGTTTGCCCTTTCGCGAGCCACCTTCCTTGGTTCCGGCCGTTGGGTAACGCACTGGTTAGGAGACAATTGGAGCAGTTGGGACAATCTGCACTTCTCCATCATAGGAATGTTACAGTTCAATCTGTTCAGGATACCATTTAATGGCCCAGATATATGTGGCCATCAATTGGATGCTACAGCAGAACTGTGTGGAAGATGGATGCAGCTTGGTGCTTTTTATCCCTTCTCAAGAAATCATAACGCGTATGGAAAATTGGTACGAAATTCAAATCAGTTTGCATTTAAGCGCTGAATTTAAATTCTAAGTTTTCAATTTATCGAGTCTAGGACCAAGACCCGGCGGCATTTAACGGCAGCATCATTGAAATTTCGAAAACAGCAATGTCCATCCGTTACCACCTCCTCCCATATTTGTACACCCTTCTCGCCCAACATTCCATGATAGGCGGCACAGTGGCACGCGCCCTTTGGGCGGAATTTCCTACCGATCCTGAAACAGCTGGGATAGATCGACAATTCATGTGGGGTTCCGGTCTACTTATAACTCCTGTGCTAGATGAAGGTGCAACCACACTACGAATATATATCCCTGATGCCCGTTTCTTTGATTACTTCACGGGTTGGGAAGTCCCGGTTAGGAAAGCATGGGATGAATTTCCTATTACCCCGGAAACAATTGCTTTGGACATCCGCGGTGGATCTATTCTTCCCACGCAAGGTCCTGCTGTAAATACAAATCTTGCCCGGCAAAATGAGCTGGGTTTAATTGTTGCCTTGGACGACCTGATGGAAGCAAAAGGAAGCTTTTACTATGACGCGGGAGACAATTTAGGTAATATTTGAGTTTACTCGGATCACGTGTAACTTGACATTTTGGCGGGAATGTTATAAAACAATGCTCAAATATTTTTTTAGATCCGATCGGTTCTGGAGAATATTTCTGGGCCGAAATTACGCAGGATCGATTTGTTGTCCTAAATTACACCGTAACCGTAAATGGTTATGCGGATATGAATCGTCAAGTTATGGGAAATATAACCGTGAATGGTGGCCCTGCAAGGACTAATATCCGTGTGAATGGTGTTGATCACACTGAATTTTTCATGACACCAGAAAGTCAACTTAACATTTACAACCTGGCTTTGGTGGCTAATGAAGATTTTATTGTAGAGATGTCATGAATCATTAAGCATACATAATAAATCATTTTAATAAATCATTGATTTGCTCATTTATTTTCATCTTTATTCACACACTCATAAAATTATTGATAAGTTGTAAGTATTTTAACATTCACAAATGTTGAAGGGGTTAGGACAATCAATTTTGATGCGATGCTCAGCATAGACTGATTTCCCACTATAGGGCCGTGTCCTGCTCATTCAAGTGAACAATCAGCAAATCGATTCCGATATCATTCTCAACACTTTTAGAAAAACGACATGTTTCATTATTTTATTCCTTAGCTCAAAATCGGTACATATTTATTCACATACCCGGTGTATTGAACTGTATCATTCGGAAGATGAGCGGTAAAAGGGTTGGAAACTGTCCAATATTGCGTTCCTGCCACTCTGTTCAGTCGCCAGTCGGCCGAGTTGTCTGCGCCAATCTGAAAACTCATCAAGGTTATGATTTACATCAGGTACTTATTTCACCTTAATCAGTGAACTACAAGCATGTAAAGTTATTTCAATTCAAAGTGCTGTATCGGCAATTTGGGAAAACGACCGATTGACAAAAATCTTCAAATTTACGAATTTTAGGGGAATGACCTTAAACATAATATTCTGCATTAATACGTATACTTAAATTCCATAGGGATAGTATAGGAATTAAATTTTCGACCGCATAAAGAGATGCCTTTTGCCCCATAAAAATATGTGTTTTGCCCTATATACTTTTTGCCCCAAAATAATATTTTTTTACCCCATAATAATTAAGTGATTCCCCTTAAATAAATAACTAGCCACTGATTAACATTTATGTACATCTAGCTTTTATTTAAATGAAAATAGTAAAATATATAAAACACTCATAATCAATTTCAATTTTAGACAGTAAGGAGGGTTTTTGAACACTTTGCTGGTCTTCCTCGGTTTCTTCTTTCTCCTAGGGGCACAGTTTTGGCTTTCGCAGACAATTCGAAAAGATTTAATTTTGAAGCGAGTCCTACAATATGTTTGCAACTATATGATTTTAGAAAGAACGGGCAGCTACATATAGATTCTTCCCAAGAATTTGGTTGAAATTTTAGCATCCAGAGCCGGTTCATAGTCTCGGTATGCGTGTTAAAACTTTTCCAAGAGCATCGTTCTATCATTCGATGATACTTATATATGTCACATTCCTTTAACTTTGGCTGACCAATGGAGGATATAAAGTGGACTATGTTATCATCAGTACTAAGAAATTTAATATCGGGCTTTTTTAGAAGCCAATTAAATGCAGCCGTCTGAATTGCTAAATTGATGGTCACAGTTTTTGAAAATAATTTGCAATCCGGTAATTCCGGGGACCTTTCTAGTGACCAATTTCGGCATTGCTTTAACATGACTTGAAACAATTGGCCCATAGGTAGACGCTATCGAAATGTACCCTGTTGTTTTATCCATCGGTTGGTAGCATCATGTCCATTGTTGGTAGATGGATGCCCAATTGCTCTTCCCTCGTACCCGCCACTCCTTTGTTGTAGGTGCTCGTCGTTAAAATATGATACAAAACCTCCCGCAATAGACTCATATTTCTTTATCCATAACTACTTGGCAGCTTCGAAATCTTTGCTTGACCTTGCTAATTGTAACTGCGTAATATCATTCTTCATGTTTCTCCATAGTTCTTTATCTCGTACAAGATTTTGTTTTGAAACTACATTCTTCTGTAAGTGAAACCAACAGTGTACTCTGATATATTCTGAGCCTTATGCTTCTTCAAACCCTGACGTAATAGCTACAGCAGAATCAGTGATAAGTACGTTGGGGGTGTAGCCGGGCAAGGTGGTTTTGATTGCACTAAAATTAAATGCATAATCCTGTTGAGTTTCTCCTTTCGCTACACCAAAGAATATAGGATGGAACTTTTTGTCCTTGTCAGATATTCCAATGACGTTTAGGGGAAATCCTTCCCAGCAAAGTTTGTAGGTCGTCTCATAATGAATACCAGTAGATTAACTCAACAGTTGTAGCGAACGAGGCTTTGACATTAAGACGCCGAACCACTTGTCTTCATAATCAAAACTACTGGCGACTACGAATGCTTTATCTTGGTCATCAGGAGGCGTTGACAGTTTGGTGGATTCTGCTTCCAAAGACCAATTGAAACAATGGTTGGACAATGCACTTTTCGGTGTTTGGCTAAAAATTTGCTAATTGTGTTTTGGTTGGAGGATTGATGCTGTTATCTATTAGAGCTTGTCGAATCATTTTTGGCTGGTTAATCCCACTTCGCAGAAGCTTGCTTATTTCAAATTTTATTCCACTGTAAATTCCTAGCAAATAAATAGCCGATAAGTAGAATAGGTTTTTTTACTGTCTTAACCGAAGAAACTCGCCACATTTGTCCTTAGGAGCATGGTCATGTTCTCCAGATGTACTTTCTACTATTGCGTTTGAATTGTTCAATGGCAACATGATTCGGCATTTACTTGTGCAAGAATCCTTATCTCGGCAAACATACGTAAATATTATACTGTGCACTGCCTCATACTTTGATTTATACACCCAGGTATTTTTTGACTTTACAAATTTTGCAGCGTCGTCTTTGCAATCAAAAACTTCCTCTACTCTCCAAGTTACGATTTTTCTTTTTCTAACTGGTCGGGGTTGAAAATCTTCTGAGTCGTCTGAACTGCTTCCGGATGAATATCTCAGTTTGTGATTTTTGTGAAGGCATTTTCGCACGTTTACAATTTTTTAACAATTTTAAGAGTAGACTTATCGGAAGACAATAATTTTAAATTAAAAGTTTGTGAAAACATTGGTTAAAACAACATGGATACAAGATAAAAGATAGAAGATACAAGATAGTATCTTTATTTTGTATCTTGACCACCTGATCGAAAAGTATCTTGTATCTTTTATCTTGTATCTTGTTGCAGATGAAAAGTATCGTCTGTAACTATCTTATCTACATGAAGCCCGACAGAAATGTATCTTAAGATACTTTACAAGATACAAGATACTTTTTTCAAAAATGTGTGAAAATTGTTGAATTTATGGAATTTATTCGATAAATTAAGTTTTTTCTCACGACAACTAATGGTCAGCCAACTTAAAGTAATGTTATCTACCCAAAATTTTGTATTTGCTATTGAATAAGAACATATAATTGAAGTATTCGTTTACACACATGTACATAATACTATTATTTTGCAAACATTACAATACAAATGCATATATGCATGCATGCATAGTGTGTACATATATACATACAAATAATAGTTGCCAATTTATGCAAAAATGTTACATAATACTACGCAGGTCCACAATCTAAGAGTAGGATGTGGCAAAAAACATTATGCACTCCTCAAGTACATCTATGTAAATATAGGCAGTCGAAATTTAAAAAATTTTTTGATTCAAAAAATTTGAAGTTTTAACTGTGATTACTAAATATTTTGAATTTTACATTCGAATTGCATTAAATTTATTTGAGGGTTCGATTGTTCCACCTTATGTACATGTTGAAAAACTGCAAGTATCTTGTCAAATATTAAAAGTATCTTAAGATACATATCTTGTATCTTGTATCTTAACTACTTCATCTGGAGAAAAGTATCTTGTATCTTTTATCTTGTGTACGTAAACAAGAAGTATCTTATATCTTGTATCTTTTATCTCGTCGGAAAAAATATCTTCATTTTGTATCTTGTATCTTATGGACAAAGTATCTTGTCTACCCCTGGCCGTTTGTAGAAAATCAAAAAGTGCAATAAGGTCGCTTTACTTGTAAATAGGCCTATGATCTGAGGGAGTTGATACCTCATCCATCGCCTTGTGGGAGGTGGTCGTGGTAAATTGTGTCATTCTCATCTTCTCTTGGACGCCATCCAAATTCTGGGACACACCTCATTTTTACTCCGAGTTGAAAATTTTAGATGGATCACCAAAACCACTGTTTACCTTAACCCGTACAGTCAAGACGGGATCCTTTCGGAACTGAAAGATTCCAACCCTAGAGTTTCTACAATTAATAACTTATTACAAACTGCAGCGGATGGAATGAACTCTGAGTTTGTTGTGTTTAAGGTAGTGATGTTTATACATATTTACTTCTTTAAATAAAAGCGCAATAAGTTAACTAAAAAATTTCTTCCGGAATCTTGCAGTTATTCTTTTTCCTCTTCTATGCGGCGTTTGGTTCATTATTTCCATTTTCGGCCTTACATTTTAAACAACTCGGCCTCAATGGGGCGCAGGTCGGTGTGTTGGTTGGACTAAGGAGGGGAGCTTCACCATCTGCCAATCACCGATCCCGTTGCCCTTTGCATATGTTGCAGTACCCGATGAGTGTATTAAAACCCCCAAGTGGTTTTATTCCATAGCCCCATTTGCACCCGCCACACCCACTGGCATAGGCGAAAAACACTTAAAATGCCCTGTTTTTAGTGGTTTCAACCTTCGCCAAAAATCCAGTTTTGAACCAATTTGGAAAATTTTTGCAATTTCGTGATCCCAGATAGTTGCTTTATCGAATCCAATATCAAGCTCAACTTTTTTGAAATTTTCATTTTTTCGAACACATACCCCTGCTCAGGAAAATATCAAAAATATGCAAAGTTTTTAAAAACTTGAGTTTGATGTTGGATATGACAGAACAACTATCTGGGATCATGAAAATGCAAAAATTATCCAAATCGGACCAAAATTGAATTTTTGGCAGGTATTTGAATATGGCGATTTTAGTATTTTCGCCCCTTTCAGTGGGTGTGGCGGGCGCAAATGGCGCTATGGAATAAAACCACTTGGGGGTTTTAGTACACTCATCGGGTACTGCAACATATCCAAAGGGCAACGGGATCGGTGATTGGCAGGTGGTGAAGCTCCCCCCCTAAGACCATTCATAATATATTATTTTTATGTTTATAGAATATGTTTTGGCGTACTTAGTGAAGTCAAATATTCAAGGAGGATGGGGTTTTTGAGCAGGCTACATATGTAACTGCATACATTTCTTTTTAGTTTGTTGGTGTTTTTAACAAGTAAATACTTCAAGCAATTATTAACATGCCGGATTTTATTTACTCATGATTTTCATTGAATGCATACATATGTCTTAAACAATACTAGCTATCAACAAATGAGTTTCATTCGTTCAACATATTTTGTCCAGAAAACTTATCGATATCATAGTATTCGCTATTGTATCGTGCGTTACATCCTTGGATTAGAGACCTTATTTCCTTTCCTGCTAAATTTGTGTATCGTATAAGTTCTGTGGTTGAGAAACATGTCGAATTTCCAGTAAAATCGTCATTCACAAAGCCTGTCCAGCTCGATCTACCTGTGAGAACCAAATTGGTAGGAATAAATCCAAAGTTTGTCGCTGCCAAGGATGTATAAGTAAGCTCGATCCCATCCAGCTGAGCACCAGGAGTAGGTCCACTGTATATTGAAACGGACGGTGTTGTTGTTTCCAGGGGTCCCATATACCTCAAAGATAATGTGGTTGCCAATGCAATATTCCCGCACCGGGGTTGGGCATTTGCGATACCGCCGCCAAACGTAAATGAACTAGTGTAATTTCTTTGCTCAAATGCTCGCCAACTGTATAAATGTTAAACAAATTGTATCATGACAACATAATGTATCTTGAGAATGAATAATCAGTTTATCATATAAAACAAGTTAGTTAATATAGTTGACTTAGTTAAACGGGAACATTTTGTGTCATCCTTATGGCCTTTGCATGATGCCGTTTTAATATGTATGCAAACCCAGACGTAAGCATGTGGATGGTAATTTCGACCAAAATTATTTCGGTAAAATATAACCTCCACCCTCGCTACCTTACAAAAATACCGACATCGTACACCTATCCTATCCCACCACCGACCTCTGTATTAACAATATTGATTGATTGATTAAGCCTTATTCAAGTGTCTAGCAAGTTCATAGTCATAAATGACAAATGCTCTTCCACAAAATTTTTTTGCAAATTTTTTTGCAGTGATGCAAAAAAAATATTTCAATAAAATATACTAATACTAAACCATTACAAGCAGTATATCGTAGTTGATTAAAAAGGTAATAAAATAATAATAGAATAATAAAATAAAATACGCCGATATAAGACGGATACATATCCAAACAACATTGGGAAAATAGAGTTAACATTCTGTTTCATTAACGTGTATCATGCGTATCATTGATGTTGTTATCCTATACCAAACTTATTATTCAGTTCACACAATATGTCATTTATATGTTCTGTTGTGAAAATCACACACGTTGACCTGCATATTACATAACGGGAGTAGAATTCGAGCAAGTTTACGGAATAACTTTTCATAGTTTATAGAATTGTTGTTCATATTGACAAAAGCTGGTACACAATTCGGGCAGGCCCATACTTTATGTTTATGCAAGTATAAGAAACACATAATGTATTTATTTATAAATAATCCTTACAATCCCATATAGCAATGTGATTTCACTTCTCCCAACAGGACCGAGTAATGTGGCGAGAGGTCTGGCTCTTTTGTACGGAATCGAAACGCATTCCCTTCCTGGTTAGGTTCCGTGTAGAGTGTTATCTCCTGCACGTAACCGACCGCAAAATTCAAACAGGCGGCCAACCAAAGTAGTGGCAGCAACATTTCAATAACGCTTGTCCGAAACTTAAATGATGACATTTTCAAGAACGGGTTGCATTTTATGCTTATGCTTGGTTTCGTCATTGGCATAAAATTCGGCGAAATTATTCGCAATTATATAAATAAATATGTCCTTGGTCAGATAAATCTTGATGTCAAGTGCTGATTGTGCTTTTTAATTAAAATATGACAGAATAATTTATTGTTGGGTTTTCCAAGTATCTACTTTACTGGATAAATTCAAGGTTGCCTTCTGATAAATCTTATTTATTGTTACAAGGTGCCCTGATAAATCATAAAAATCGTAATTTAGACATTATTTTATTACGAATCAATTATCGCATAAAGCTGACAATTCGAATTATGCAATATGTCAGTCTTATATTGTCAAGAAGTTAAAAACGCTGATTTCTAAATTCGTAGATAAATATTTTGTTAACAAATCTAATAGCAACACAAGACAAATATTCGCTACACCCTGATCATTTGTATTTATCTGAAAACACTCAACGCGCCATTATATAACATTCATTCGCAGTTGAGCTTATACCAATATTAAATTTACAATAGATTAGAGAGAGCCTGAAGTTTATCAAGTGGAATTGATTGAACTGACAGAAATCAGACACGTACATGGACCATTTTACGATGGAATTACCTATCTGTATACATACTTTATATTGGATAGAGCTGTTTTTCGCTGATATCAATGACAACGTCTCAAACGCCAACATTAATTTTTTTTATCAAGCATGGAATTTAAGTTTATATAATTTGTGTACAAACTGAATGCAATGAATTCTATACAAGTATGTAGAAAGATAAAATATTGGTCACGGGGCATTGATAGGTAGTCGAGAAAGAGGAATATCTGGGCGCAACCATTTTAATACAATGGTTTTCCTTGCATGGTACATATTCTTGTGCACATATGTCATTTCGGAACAGAGTTGGGAGATTAGACCAGTTTGGGATTAAGGATTGGGATTAGTTAAATTCGCGGGATTAGATTATTTCTCGATTAGTTATTTATTAAATATGTCGGGATTGGGGATTAAGGATTAGAATATAATAAAATCTGGATTAGATTAGGGATTAGGGATTAGAATATAACCAATCCGGATTAGATTTGGGAATAGAAATTAATTTTAAGCAAGATCTCTTTTAAATGACTTTTGTTTAATCGGAGCATAGAATTGCCAATAGATTTTAATTTTTGCTGGTCTTAAGTTACTTCATCAACAGAAGCTAGGAAACTAATCCCGAAACAAATCCACGTTGGATTGGGGATTAGCTGGGAATATGGGATTGGGGATTAGGGATTAGTTTTACAAGTCCAAATTTGTGGGGTTGGGGATTAGTGATTAGCAATCCCTAATCCCTAATCAACTAATCCTAATTGGGGATTGTCCCAACTCTGTTTCGGAATAAATCCTCGACTGCACGGTATGTATGTATAATACCCAACAATAACCATGACATGATAAGTCTACGTTATGTTTCGTGTTAGCCACCTGACATACACCAAACAATTTCCAGGTGTATTAAATACATTTATAGAAATCGTTGTCTCCGCTTAAATCAGTCTGAAATACATAGATTAGTTTATACCTCATGTGACGGATTTCAACCATCTTCCACACATTTCAAAAGTGACCAGAATAAGATACATACATAATTTGCTATAACATGGTAAACTATACTGTGTCTACAACTTCATCCATCACGTACGTTATGCAAGATCCCGTAATTCGTGCGCTGAGGATGAGATTGCACACTCATTGCATGCGTCAATATGTGCCTCACCCTATCCACTTCTCCATACTAATATCGTAACATAGAACATACGTTATGTACTTCTGATTAAAAAAAAGTTTCGCAATTTTATTCCGCATTTACAGCTCCAATCTTTGTCCGACAATTTGAGTACCGCAAAATATTAAAGAAAGTTGAAGTTTTTAGTTAATTATTGAAAATATGAAAATTATAAAACAAATTAGTCAAATTATTATACAAATTATTCTAATTATTAGATAGTTAGCGCAAGTTACATATCCTCCCCTGACATATAACTTATTGTGCGGGATAAGTCGTACGCATATGTTTTACGTCAAACAGCTTGCGCACTTGACATAAGGCATAAACGGCATCTCACTTTCCCCTTCCATTTCTCTTGAGATTTTGAGACGCGGGATGAGTGAGACGGGATACGTCAACATATCGCTCTCTTGTTATGCATGACTTATTGGTGTGCGACTTAAGTCAGACTTAAGGATTATCGGGCCCGAGTTAAGTCATAAGTCGTTATTCCCTATGCGATATGTCGTTGCGCTAACTGTCTATTATACAAAGGTAGTTCAACAAGTCGGTAAGGAAATTTACACCATTTTATAGTGTGAATAGTAAGAGAGCTGGAGATGGAGTCTTGTACAAATGAGTGATTACAGTCTTATTATTCTATGCATACATATACCTAACTATACCCTCTGACAAAAACTTTTTCCCCTGAAAAATAATCAGAAAGAGTAGGTAGGTCAGCAAACTACAAATTTTGACAATTAAAATTTTGATGAGAAATTTTGATGAGAAAGTCATGAAATGGAAAAATGAAATAACTCCGAGAAATATGACTTGAAAAACATTAAACACTTTTGCATAGATAAGAAATATGGAATTTAATCATGAAGACATGACGTGCTGGAACTTGGAGTTGTGGGTGGGTTGACTAGCTCGCAAACGTGGGTGGTAAAGTTTCATCTTCCTATGCAGGTTGGTGGATCTATGTAAAACTGAACAAAACGATGAACAAAGAAAAATATATTATAGTTGTCTTGTATGTGGTCCACGGGAAATGCATTATGGTCATCATTCAGTCTGCTTATGCACAGCATATTAAACTTGAGAGTTATTGCTGCAACTGGAATACGCACAGTTGCACGAGGGTTTTACATGGCTCACCCGAAACAGTATCAACGAAGCTACAACAAAAGAAGAAGGTTAAATTCTAAAACTGGCCGAATTAACAGAACTTAGTTGTACCGTTTTTTTTAAACTTTATCACCGGCCAAACACGGCCGAGTTTTTCGCAAAAGTGGTATAAAATAATTACTGCCCGGTGTATATATGTAATCAAATTGGATCTATCTGCATAGGTCGGAGTACTCCGAGCTGGGAGTACGTACTCCGGGCTGGGAGTACGTACTCCGGGCTTGGAGTGCGTACTCCGGGCTTGGAGTACGTACTCCGTACTCCGGAGTACGGAGTACAAGAGATTTGCCAGAGTACTCGGAGTACGGAGTACACACAATCTATCATGTATTATACATGTGTACTACGGAGTACGGAGTACACGAGATTTGCCGGAGTACGGAGTACTCGGAGTACGGAGTACGCGAGATTTGCCGGAGTACTCGGAGTACGGAGTACGCGAGATTTGCCGGAGTACTCGGAGTACGGAGTACCCGAGATTTGCCGGAGTACTCGGAGTACGGAGTACGCGAGATTTGCCGGAGTACTCGGAGTACGGAGTACGCGAGACTTGCCGGAGTACTCGGAGTACGGAGTACGCGAGATTTGCCGGAGTACTCGGAGTACGGAGTACGCGAGATTTGCCGGAGTACTCGGAGTACGGAGTACGCGAGATTTGCCGGAGTACTCGGAGTACGGAGTACGCGAGATTTGCCGGAGTACTCGGAGTACGGAGTACGCGAGATTTGCCGGAGTACTCGGAGTACGGAGTACGCGAGATTTGCCGGAGTACTCGGAGTACGCGAGATTTGCCGGAGTACTCGGAGTACGCGAGATTTGCCGGAGTACTCCGGAGTACGGAGTACGCGAGGTTTGCCGGAGTACTCGGAGTACGGAGTACTCGGAGTACCGAGTACGCGAGATTTGCCGGAGTACTCGGAGTACCGAGTACGCGAGATTTGCCGGAGTACTCGGAGTACCGAGTACGCGAGATTTGCCGGAGTACTCGGAGTACCGAGTACGCGAGATTTGCCGGAGTACTCGGAGTACGGAGTACTCGGAGTACGGAGTACTCGGAGTACTCGGAGTACGCGAGATTTGCCGGAGTACTCCGGAGTACGGAGTACACGAGATTTGCCGAAGTACGGAGTACGCGAGATTTGCCGGAGTACTCGGAGTACCGAGTACGCGAGATTTGCCGGAGTACTCGGAGTACCGAGTACGCGAGATTTGCCGGAGTACTCGGAGTACGGAGTACTCGGAGTACGGAGTACTCGGAGTACGGAGTACTCGGAGTACTCGGAGTACGCGAGATTTGCCGGAGTACTCCGGAGTACGGAGTACACGAGATTTGCCGAAGTACGGAGTACACGAGATTTGCCGAAGTACGGAGTACGGAGTACTCGGAGTACGGAGTACTCGGAGTACTCGGAGTACGCGAGATTTGCCGGAGTACTCCGGAGTACGGAGTACACGAGATTTGCCGAAGTACGGAGTACACGAGATTTGCCGAAGTACGGAGTACGGAGTACGCGAGATTTCCCGGAGTACGGAGTACGCAAAATATCCGATCTATGTATCTATGTATCTGAATCAATCGGATTATTATTATTATAACAATGAATCAGTGTACTCCCAAGCAAAAATTCACAGCATTTTGCTTTTTTGCTGGTTTCTTAAGATGGGGAGAAGTGAGACGTGTGGTTAGTATATGACATGTACAAACACCTCACACTTTAATTTAACCTTTTTCTAGCACTTATTTACATATTTGCTTTCATAACTAATAATTTAAACCCATGTAGCAACAAACCCCAAGCGTCCTTGGCCACTTGATGACACCCAGCTCCTCCACCTGAACCAGTTTATGATCACGGATCGATTTGGTTGTTACGATTACGGGGAGACACAAAACCTACAAATTTATGGAAACATGAACCCTCCAGAATATGTATAATTTAAAATTAATAACAGCTCCAATCAGTTTGGTCGTTGCTAGAAATTACAGGTTCGCCAATTCTGTTGGGTATCAAAGGCTTGTAAATGTTCTGCCAAATATGATCGATTATTACACAATTCCTAGTCCAACGTTTTCCCATAT